GCTGTTATATTTAGGGCAATAAAGCTTGAAGAAATTCTTACCAGTGCAATAATAAATATACTGGGTACATTATTTATAAAATTTTAAAGCAGTCTTTTGTGATCAGGTATAAAGTTCTGCAACCATAGCGTTGTTTTATGCGTTATTTATAGCATTGTTTTATTTGCAATATGATAATCTCCAGATATTAAAACTGAATCCTTGCTCATTTAATGGAGTTGTATACAGGCATCCATACATGCACACACACAAATCATCTTTCATGTGCTCTATTTTTAGCCTACCAGAGAAAAACCAATCTAATTGCTTCATTAAAAACCAGACCAGGAGATGCACACGTGCCTACAGGCACTTGTTGAGGAGAAACACAGATTATTCACTATTTCTGTTATCAAAGGAGCTTCACATTGCAAATCCTCCGTTTACAAATGACAGGGCCTCAGCTTTCCTTAATCTGGCGGTGCTGCCACGTTTGAGCAGCCATGCGAACTGACCCAGAACCGCGAGCACCGGGCGGGCAAGCTGGCACACAGACACTGACAGCCAGGGCTGACAAAAAGGGATTCATCAAACCTCATCAAAGGACAACACAGCATAATCACAGTGTTTACTGATTTTTATCAACTTGTCCAATGGCTGAACATCTTCAGCACGCAGCTACCCAGAGCAGTAAAAGCTGTGACAAATGGAATTCCGTATAAGGAACTATTTATAGCAGCAGTAAATGCAAGTTTAAACTGCCAACATAAAGGACACTTGAATTTATAGAAGAAGTTTAATTTTGTGCATTAGTGCAACATTTCCTAGTCTTTCCAGAGCAAAAACTTCACTATCTGCCATTTTTCACAGGGAACAGCAGTACAGCCTTAAATAAATACTAGAACAGAAACCATACAGATACTCCTTCATCTTCATTTTTTATTTGATTAGCAGAAGAGCATAGCATAATAATAAAAGCCTCTCACAGAAAATGGTTATTTTCCCAAACTGCTTCATGAAATGAAGTCAAACCCATTGGCAGCAATAGTAAAAGGGAAGAACCTCTCTCAACTGAGCATATGTCTTCACACAGTAATTCTAACAGGCTGAAGAAACACCTCTCAAGCTGCATTCTTCCAAAGAGTTTGGATTGAATTCTTTCAAATTCCATTCTAAGACGATGATCTAATCACTATCTCCTTCCAGACACATGAACAGGTCAATGAGATGCATGCAAATTTGTCTGGCAAAATTTTGACCAGCTGCAATTATTTATGTACCCACCCTGGCAGAGGTAGGATTGCCACAACAGGCACTGCAGCCATTCTAAGCCCTTCATCAAACATTAATTTGTTTTAAATCAGTATCTCCATATTTGCTATTGTTCAATGAATTAAATTTGTGGCAGTGTTAGTGCTGACAGGTTAATGATAGTATACAGGGAAATTGCAATGACTGGAGCAATTGCATTTGTTAAAAATGGCCAATATTCTCTTCAAATATTTCAATAGCACAAACCCCACGGTTTCCTTATTGAAGCTGCTTGCTTTTATTCAACATCTTTCCTGCAGTTATGAAGTTAAACCTTTCAAAATGTTTAATCTATTTTGGAGACTGTATCTTTCTCCAAATGGAGGTCAATAACTTAATTTATGACTGTCAACTTCTAAAGCTTTATAAAGCATTTCTTTTGCTTGCATGCAGGCGCACACACACAGAATCCTTCCTCTTGGGACTGATTCTGCTCAAAAATGTAAATAAATACAGTCACAATTGGACAGGTGTTATATCCACTTTCACCATACTTCATTCCAAATTCAGCTTTATATAAACCCTTGCCTTTCTCTCTGTTATTTCAAAATCATAAACTGCAAATACACTTGGGAGAAAAATAATACCAAGCATGCATCAACACTGGATTTTTTTTTTTTTTTTTTTGCTTCTACATAAAGGCTGGATATAGTTAAAAACTGGAAGAGGAGAGAGAGATAATATAACTATAAAATAATAACCCTTTCCCATTTTTACACAAAAAACCATAAAATGTCATTTGCAGGTACATCTGAGAATGCACTTGCAAAAGACACTAAAAATGCTTTTTCTTTCCAAACTATGAATTTTGATGCTACAAAACCTAAAAGAGGAAAAAGAACAATATATTGAGCACAGATTTGAAAAAATCACTAAGAATGCTAAAGCTGCCAAATGAACAATGTTCTGCAACCAACAAGTAAATAAGTCACAGGTTTATTCTGGATCTCATTCTGATTTATCCAGAGACTGACAGGGCAGCTGCCCATTGCCCCCATCAGACAAGAACCCCAGGATTAATTCTCCCCTAGTGCAGCTATAGTCAGGAATTTGCTAAAGGAAGGTCCTCAGAGATCCTTGTTAAAATTCCATCATCAAACCAAGAGGAGTTTCTCATAGTTTCCCTGTCTCTGTTCTAGTTCGGATCTGCTTGCAAACCCTTTAATCATGTCTGCCAGAGAACATCTATCCCAGAAGTGCAGAACTTCTCCTCTGAACAGTAATTATTTTTAGCCTCAGAATGCACTGGATGCAATGAAGAGTGAAATGCTTTTAAATTTCCCATGGAAGGATCCCTCTGTCAGATAGCTGAGGAGGTTTCCCCTCTGTAATGTGCATTCAGGAACAGACAGAGATGCACAAATAGAAATGTGTTTATGGACACAAATTGCTCATTAACACATTTATCTACTCAAGATTACTTTATTCCCAAATAAAAATAGATACCATGTGGCTGAGGGCTAAGTATCCTCTGGCAGGAATGATGAAGGATTGAGAAGAAAAGAGTGAATATTACCAGCAGAACTACCCAAGACGCCCCATTTCCAATTGATGATCAAGTTCCAACCAAAGCTTTGCTTGTTGTATATTACTATTTGAAATCCACAAACACACCCATCCTTTACAGGGAGGCAATACAAATGTACATATACTCACATTTCAAACATTGAGCATGTTTATAAGTATCTTCACTTGATATCAACTTTACAAACACAGTAGAATTACTGTCATTGAGCTTAGGAGCACTAAAAATGCACTATAAAATCATACTGTAGGTGTTTTGCATGCATCTGGAAAACCACAGGAAGGTTAGTTTTGGTTCTCAAATTATCTCTATTTTTGCTCCATGTATTAAAACATAAAACATCAGATAATAAAAATAGTTGGAACTCAACTTACAAATCCAAAAGACCAAATTCAACTTTAGCAATTTGACTCACAGGAATATGGGCTGGAGATTTATTTTTTTATGAAGCCAAAAGTAATTTAAATTCTATTACTGAAACTTAGGTATATAAGAAACAGCAGGCACAGGTTTTTCATCACCTTTCTCCTTCATACTTAGTGCAAAAAAGTCACCTATAGTCACCTGTGATGGATGTCTTTATCAAATGCTCAAAACCATGCCTAGCAAAAATACCTTATTGTTGAATCAATTCAACACAGGTAATCAACTGGTAAACTGAAAAGTTTTTAAAAATACATACAGAGATCCATTTCCTTTTATGTAAAGTTCACTGAAGGCACTTATAAATTAAATTTATATTTTATATAAATATTATATTTTTGATTGGAATTCTAAAAAAGTAATATATGGAATATCTGCAGTAAAGTCTTGGGCACTTAAACTGTGCCTGAATTGAGAGAAAAATTTCTTTACTAGAACAAGAATTATTACTTAGAAGGGTTCACTTTGCAAAACTGGACCCACAGACCCCGCATCCAACTCAAGAATTACAAGTTTAAAAATGATAAAATAAATATTTTATTCTTACTTAGCAAAGCATAGATTTACAAATCAGCAGCCTCCCTACCACAGCTCACTTCAATGAAGAGCTGAGCAGGAAGCTCAAGTGAAATAACCAAAGACAAAATCCAAGCTGAGTGATAGGAAGAATGTGACAAATGTTGGCTTCTCAAAATGTATCTACTTCATAATTTATAGGACTTGGAAAAATCTATCTTAAATCAGGTTTTACTACAGAAGAACTTTTCAGATTACCACCAAAAGTGCTACATAGAGATTAAGACAATTTTAGCATATTTGGGTTTATCTATGATCATCTTTTCCATAAATAAATGTTCTCTATTTGTTTCTATGTAGATAATCATAAACAGAAATCTCGTCACCTTTCATTTATTTCTGCTAATATAAAACTCTATTAGCAAACACTTCTTAATACCAACATTTGATTTCACACTATATACCCTTTCATCCTTCAATACGAAAAGTTCTATAAACTCAATTTTTTGCACATTATTTGCAGAACAAGTCCCAGCACCATTACTATTTATTTTAGCCTTTTGATTTCTTATGTAGCAACATAACACCATCCTTACCTGAATTAAGACTAAGCTTGTTCAAATTCTATCGCTTAAAAGAGAGAAAACCTCTTTACATATTCAATATATTTAAATAATATAAATAAATCTTTTAAAAACATTGTTCATTCGTCTGTACCCATGGCTTACAACATGATAGCATATGGAGACTTTTTACTTACTAGAGAGCGATCCTGTGAGGGCACAGACCCTCTCTCCCACTATCTCATCCATAGGATAGACTTTGTGAGTGCTTTAGGGTCTGCAATACCCTCGTGGGCATCATTTGCCCCCAACAGTTGAAAAGAAAATTGTTACATCTATAGCACTTACAATGTCCTGCACACAACTAAGCCTTGGCTCTTCTCACCACTTCTGTTTGGTTTAACTTTTCAAAGTCACACTCCTGAAGCTTTTATCAGAAGGTTTAACATATCCTTACACTCTAGGCCATACCATAAACTGGAAACAAAACCCCAAAGTCAGCAAAATAACCTAATGGCTCTTATAAGGCAGAACCTATAGGCTGAAGCTATAAATTCATTACACTATCCCCAAGATTTATACACTATGGACTTTCCTAGGCTTTGTCTTACGATTAAATGCAGCATGTGAAAAAGGATATTGAGACCTGGATGGATGCATCAAGAAGTATCAATGATTGTTACCTGCAGAGGTGTTACAAGAAATTTCATCTGCTGCAACGAAGACGAATTGATTTCTGCAAGAGAAGATAAAATTCACAATACTGCTTGCTGACTGGGAAATGTGCTAGCTGCCAATTGACTTGATGTTTACAGATGGGGTAGGGGAAGGGTGCTTAATTTTAATGAATGTAGCAAGAAAAAGTGTTGAGTACTATAGAGTTTATAAGGATCATGAGGTAGACATGCTGGGATCTTTTAAATGAAATAATGGTGACATTTGGATATGGACTATGTACAAACTCTTGCATTGGAAGCTTCATGTTTAGTGTTACAGATATATGTCAATATATTTATGAAGTCTAATAAAAATAAAACAATATATTGATATTAAAGGGCACTACTGCAAAATATGTAAAAAGCGCTTTTGAAAAAAAATTAAATTGCAATTTACTTTGTGCATCTGAAAGGAGGATATTGAAATTAAAATATTGTGCTTTTTCTGTCTAATATGACTGCAATCAGAAAATTAATTTATCTGCTATTTATTAAAAAAATGACATAGTATATTCTCATATACTGCCATCCAAATACATAGAAAAGTCTTTTGCAGAATCTTAGGAGAATAAGCTAGAGATATAATTTAATATAAACCTTCTCTTGCAAAATTCTTTTTTAAACCAGGTAACATAAAAAGAGAAAAGCTAAACGCTCTAGTATTTCAAAATGCAGAAAACTTCATTACGGCACAAATCCTGTTTGTCCTTTCTGAAATCTAGGCAACCAGGATTTGTGTTGGTGGAAACCTTGTTGAAGGATTAACATCCAATGATTCCTTTATTGCATACACACAGCTGCCTCGGGGTATTTCTGTGTTGGGCAGGGTTAATGAACCCCAACGCAGAATTAACACTCGGGTGTGGTTTCCTCCCAGCCCTGCGCTGCCAGGCACAGCCAAAACCTGACCCTGAGCTTTGCACAGCCTGAATGCCAGCCCAACAGCCAGGAGCCAAGGGATGCAGGCTAAGGAGTGCCTGGGAAAACAGCTCTGCAAGCTTTGAGTGCTGAGCATCCTGCTGAAAACACCATGCAGCAGCAAACATCCCTCAGGGGCAGCGAAACCTGCAGGAGTGGAGCCCTAAGGGAGCAAAATCTATTTCCATTACTTCACCTCTGGCATATCAAGAGATTTGAAATTCTCACTTAGAAATCTGTGAACCTTGTTACTCAGAGGTTCATATTCTAAGGGGGGAAAAAAATAAATACCAAACAAAACAAGGGATCTGCAATCTGTACTGCAGGGACAGGGCTGCATAGTTCCAAAAGCAGATAAATTGCCTCTGCCCTAGCAGAAATACTGACACTGGTGAGCTTAGTGATCAAATTGTTCATTCTTGCATTTTCATCTGTTCATTAAGTTCAATTAACAGCTCTGCTCTTTATTTTGTCATCTGCAACAGTTTCAGGAGCTAATGAGATTTACCTAACAACTGATGCTAAATACATAAATTAAAAAAAAAAAAAACAAACAACAAAGAGGGATAAATTTTACATTATAAATACAGAGCTATTCTGTATTTCACAGGTAGCATAATTTGTCACTGTATTTACTGCTACCACCTCTGTGATAATTATAGACAGGGAAAGTTAGAGCCAGTAGCAATGCAGATTTACCAGCTACTGTTTCACAAAATTTCTTCTGATTCATTTCTGTGAAATTGTTAAACTGCCCTCTCATCTAAATGAAAAAAATCACTTTTCCTTAAAAACTGCCACTAAAGTGGTTACTGTGAAGCTCCTTTTGTTCCTCTCAGTTCAGAACACTGGAATATATAGCCACAGAGTCCCTACTCTCAGATGCGGAATTATCTGCAAGAGTAATATGCTAGTACCTCCAGGAAGACCCCAGAACACTAATGCAATTTGTCCTTCAGAATGAAAAATGTTATTCAAACTGCTCTGAAATCTTACTCTTTTTTAACCAAGTTTTTGCTAATTGCTGGGAAAAAAACTAATTGAAAAAAATTAAATAAACCCAAAGTGATATCTATTTAAAATAACAACTGCTATAAACATCTCTTGTTATACTGCTTCATAGGAAGGAAATGTTTTGCTTTTATAAAATGAATTTCACAACCCCACACATAACTTTTAAAAGTATGAAGTTACATATTGGTCAGCATAGCAACTGTGAGAATGAAAAGCCTTGAGGATGGAGTCCAATAAGCCAGTTCAATATTTTATAACTAATTAGGTGTTATTTGTAGCAATTCCTGGAAATTCTTAAGCACTTTGATGGCTTTAATGCTCTTACACTGGCGAGATTTATTTAGCTAAATTCCATAGTGTTATTTACATAGACCCAGAGGGGAAATTGCTCATCAGAGGCATCCCAGATATCCCAGCTGATGGCTACAGCACGGGTTAATCCTCTCTGTGTAGCTGATGGCTACAGCAAGGGTTAATCCTCTCTGTGTAGCTGATGGCTACAGCAAGGGTTAATGCTCTGTGTGGGCAGCCCCAGAGCCTGCAGAAGGAGCCCTTAGGAGTGAAGCTGGCTCTGTGGGGCACCAATCCCTCCTGTCCTAAAGCAGGAGGGGAGCAGAGGTGCCAAAGGACACCTGACCTTGCCCAGTCCCCTGCAAACATGCAGTGTTCCCTTTAAAGGGCAATTCTCTGCACCAGCTCTGTCGAGCATATAAGGCTTGAAAATCTCACAAGGAAGATATGATGAAAATTCATGGTGCATTTTAGGCTGGTTTAGTGTTCCTCATCACTGCTGCACTTTAAATGATTCAAAAAGGTGCAGGAATTGTAAGCGGACCCAACTTCATTATACAATAAGCCCTGCTCAATTAAGATAGAGAATCACTTCCATAATTTAATTTGTGTATTAACAGTGAAAGTATAGGACCAAATTTTCACTGTTCACTGGTTAATACTTCAGATGTAAAAGAACATAGATTCAAATAAAAGAAATTTTTTTTTAAATAAAATTTTAGAAGTTTTTACTGGCTGTGAGATCAAAAAAAAAAAAAATCAAAAAACAAAACAAACCTGAAAGGATAACATGATAAATACATTGACCTGAGCGTTGGGTATATCCAACCTGCCAGATCCTCACACCCTGGGCTTAGTGCAATGCTTTTAAGTGCAGGAGTGGCACCTTTTGGCAGTCTGAGCTCTCTGATGTCTCCCAGACAGTGTGGGGCAGGAATCTGTGCTGCTGGGACTCCAAATGTCTGGGTTCCATCTCAGCAGCTCCTTCCCAAGGGCAAACTCTGCATACTACTGCTTCTCTCAAGCCCATAGATCAGGTTTTATCTCTTCTAGCAAATTGAAAACTAACTCATGTTTTACCAGTATGGTAATAAAGATGGTTTTACATTTTGAAAAAAAAATGTTTAAACATTTGATATATATCCTGAATTCAAACAAGAACAGAAGGGGAAGACAACAGAAGTACTATTAAGTGATTTAGATGTGCTTTCTTCCTTTGGGGTAGTTATTGAACCTGCATCACACCATCTTCAAAGGTTTGAATATGTTGTAATTTCCTCTGCTCCATTCCCTGTAGTCCCTTTGGCAGTAACAAATGTGTGCCTCCAGGGCCCCACATCTGACAGAATCCTCCCTCTCTTGGCACCTGCTCTTTTTATCCAGGAGACCTTTTCCATTTCCAACACATTACATGCATGCTTTCTCTCTTCTTGAAAGTGTTTGGTGAAAACATGCCATACTATAGAATAAAGATTTTATATATATTGAGGGGTTTAAATTCTTTAATCACTGGAGCCTAAGCCTTGTCCTTTCTATGGCAGTCTAATATACACAAGCACTTGTGTGAAGAAATACCTGACCCATAAGTGATCTGCCCACTTTACTAATGGAAAAATCAGAATCTGGAAGATAAGAAGAGATTCAGAGAATGGGTCTCAGACAGTTTTATTTAATGATTTGGGGGATGTAACTATCACAAAACAATTCCAACCTAAGTTCAGAACAAACCACTACCCTGAGTGCTTCCTCTAAAAGTTTCCATGGAGTCATCCCACCCTGGGGAAGGAGGAGCTACTCTGTGTCTGCACCAGACCCCACTCTTTGAAAAGCACCAGCTTCCCACCCCCTTTCTCTCCTGCACTCACTGGCCCTGCTGCTCCCAGGTGTTCAGAGCTCCCAGGTGTCTGGGAATTTATAAAATTACGTCATTAGTGGTCAAAAACCTGTGCAGGACACACGGGGCCAGTGAGTGTTCTCTCATCTCCCTAAAATGCTGTACGGCACTAGGACTTCTCACCAGTGTTTCACACAGCACACAGTTGAGAGCAAAACTTTTGCACACATCTAATTTCACCCATGACTCCCTGAAGTTTCCAATCCCTCCTCAGCACACAGAGCTTCCTTAAAATGGAATACTAGAGGTCAAAGGGGATTTTAAGAGATTAATCATACTGGCTCTAGGATATCTGAAATGTAAAAGAAATCATAATCCACTAACATACAATGATTATTCTTCATAGACCTGAATTCCTGGGCTTTGCTGACAAACTTAACAAAAGTAGAAATACTTTTGCCTAACACAGAAGTTCAGACCCCCACCCAAAAATACAGCAACTGCTGAAAACAGTGCAGAGCCCAGAACATTAAAATTTAGGATGAAGGCAAACACAATATTGAGCAGAAGTTACAGTGGGAAGGTTTAAATTATATTTAATCAGTTGACTTCTCCTGGTAGGACCACCATGGGATTGACAAACAAAGCCAGTATTTAGAACTCAGGGATCAGAATCTCAGCTGGTAAAATTGCTGCAGCTTAATCAAAAGCACTGACTTCCCTTCCTGGAGCTGCTCCACACCATATTCCCCAAGGATCCCATGCAGCAAGGGTTTTTCCCAGCAGTTCTATGTGGTACATCTGTTTATTTCTCCATTATATTATTTAAGCTATTATAGATTTCCTTCGTGCTCTAAATGTTAAGACTTTGCTGCTTTTGTGAGGACTCTGATGTTGAGGGCTTTTTCACTATGAACTTCAATATAGCTGACTGCTGGCTCCTTGAATGGTTTCTGCAATATT